CCCATGTAATGAATCCACTGCCATGTACTCAATTCTGACCTGTAAAACCTGAGCAGGCAGTTTCATCTTTTTCCAGTGGAACGGCTGATGGGTTTGAACCACCAACCTTGCTGTTTGCAGCACAACACTTAACCCACAGCAGAAAATAACACTCTTTATATCAATTCCAATAAATGTTAAGGGTGAATTACCATAAAGTTGAAGATTAGCACACTGGAGAAGCCAGTTACATATTAACATCTTCAAGAAAATTAGGGAAGGGATTTGAATGAATGAGAACCTGTTGTAGCACATACAGTAAATAAATAGGCGGATTATTTAAAAAACAAGATCATAGAAATGAGTATCATTACATAATAATAAATTCATTCAGAAATTGTGCTTCTCGCTACGGGGGACAACACTGGAGACACAGTGCGGGAATGTGCCGGATCTGACCCCACCACACTAGGGAGAAACATTAAGGGCGTGCAACAAAGCAGCAAGGGGAGCAAAGCAATGAAGTCCCCGAGAAATACAAAAAATAGACTTTGGGGCCAGGGCGTGGCACCCCATCAGCCTTGACTGGAAAACACTCCTAAGGGTCAACAAACAGACCTGGAACTATTTATAGGCTTTTCTTTTTTTTAGCTGTTATGTTTTGCTTTGGTTTGTTTTTGTGCTTATTATTATTGTTTCGCATGTCTATCTAGATAAGATAGGTGGGATAAACAATCCAGAGGCGAAAACAAGGGGACCAACAGTTGATGGGGGGTGGGGACTACATGGGAGAGGGGGAGACTGGGAAAAGGAAGGGGGTTATCAACAAACCCAGGGACAAGGGAACAACAAGTGATATAAAATCTATGGCAAGGAGGGTGTAGGATGCCTGGTGGGACTTGATCAGATGCAATATAGGCAAGAGGAACTACTGAAACCCAAATGAAGGTCAAACATGATAGTGGGACAAGAGGAAAGTAAAAGGAAATAGAGAAAAGAAATAGGAGGCAAAGGACATTTAGAAAGATATAAATACAGGCATGTGCATATGTAAATAAAGATAGGGAAATCTATATGTATATTTATATGTTAAGTATTAAGGTAGCAGATGGACATTGGACCTCTACTCAGCACAAGAACACTTTGTTTTAATAATCTGGCATTCTGTGATGCTCATCTTCCTGACACTATTACTGAAGACAAAGTGGGTGCATAAGCAAATGTAGCGAAGAAAGATGATGGTGCCCGGCTACCAAAAGATATAGCGTCTGGGGTCTTAAAGGCTTGAAGGTAAACAAGCGGCCATCTAGCTCAGAAGCAACAAAGCCCACATG